AAGACAAAAAGTTACTGGGCTCTCTCTTTATGTTATAGATTCTGTTTTATAAACTAAAAGTTACTGGGCTCTCTCTTTATGTTATATATTCTGTTTTATAAACTAAAAGTTACTGGGCTCTCTCTTTATGTTATACATTCTGTTTTATAAACTAAAAGTTACTGGGCCTTTGTTATATTTAAGTATGATAATGAATTTTAAAGTTTTGTGTTTTGTTTTGATGATATAAGAATGACCCTGTTTAAGTTAGTTTTTGTATCATTCAACAACTCTAAAGATACCTGTACATTAGTTGTAGTAATTTGTTATATTTAAGTATGATAATGAATTTTAAAGTTTTTGTGTTTTGTTTTGATGATATAAGAATGACCCTGTTTAAATTAGTTTTTGTATCATTCAACAATTCTAAAGATACCTGTACATTAGTTGTAGTAATTTGTTATAACTGTTGCTAAAAAAGTGATTGTATTCCTTATTCTGTTCACAGTAAACTTTAATTGAACTATATTTTACAATATCATGCAGATGATAATTAAAAAAAAACGTTTATTTCGGCAAAGCTTTTGCCATTGCTGCTTCATCAGGGCTAATAGTACAAAAATTAATGGCACTAGCCCAGATAAAGCCACACTGGTAAAATATTGGCTGAAATAAAGTTTTTCATTGTTATCTGGCAATTAAAGAGTGTTTTGTTTTCTTCTAACTTTATTGCCAAAATGTCTAAATACCTCAGTATGCTGAAAAACAACAAAATATTATGTAGTAGTAAACTGGTCCCTTAAAGTCTGTTACAAATTTATCCTTACCTTCTAGGAATTCATGTGACTCTAGCCTGCAGGGTTTAGAAGTTGAGTATTAAGTAGTTTGACTGTCACGTGCTTGTTTGAACAAAAAAAAGTTTCAGAGATTTAATATCATTATAGTCATGTGATTTTCTTCCTGTGATGTTCAACTATATGCACCTAGCTAACACGGTGGAACAGTTGTGGTAGTATTTATATTTGTAACACAATGTCCTCTTTTTCTTTTTCAACCGGACCAGTTCTTTATCTTTTAGAATAGTTTAATTTTCTTTCTCTGAATTGAAAGCTTCTGTAATTACTTATTTTGTTATTTTATAGGTTAGATGCTATTGAGAGGAGGTGAGTATTTCATTTCCAGTGTTCTTTGTTAGAATTGTAAAATTACAATTACTAAGCTTTATATCAGTATAGAAGTACCGACTGTTGTGTTAAGAAAATTGTTTAAAATTTAAAGAAAGGGTTTAATATTTTTTTTTATTCATCTGTATTTCTACCTCTGTCAGGTAATATGTTTTTCTTTTTTAATTCCCGAGTCTTGTAAAAAAATAGAATGTACTTGTAGAATAAACTTTCTAAAACTAGACAGAATTAGTCTTGTAAAAAAATATAATGTACTTGTAGAATAAACATTCTAAAACTAGACAGAATTAGTCTT